AAGCGGATTTACCGTAAAGATGAGAAATGTTATTTATGTTTATGTTTTGTGTTTGGGTTTCCTCCTAAAGTGATATTCTAAATGAAATATATTTAATGCATACTCTCCGGTAGCATATGTTCCCTCAAAGAGGTCACGAAAGTCGTAAAACAATGGCATGGCCTTCTTACGGTAATCTACAACTTTTGGATGACTCTATTCACAGTGAAACATTAGGCAAAGACAGTTTGTCAATGATTGTAGTACGCAATAGTTGTACCTTGACATAATCATCCCAAACAGAGTCATGCACTAGCACGACATGACGTTTACCATCCCAGCCAAATCACGACGCGTCTAGAATCACCTTGATCGACGTATAGATGCCTTTCAGCTGTAGTAAAACGAAAATATCTTAGATTGGGCCTGCAAAAAAACGCTGTAAACGGTTTACGTACCGCTGTCAGTCTGGATTTGATCTGCTGCCTCGACAGTTTCGTCTGAAGACGGGTGTTGAACGCAGCGAGTGCTTCGGTCCACGCTTCCTTCTCCTTCTTGAAGCCGCCGGCAGCTCTCTTCCCTGCTTGCGCTTGCTGCGTCATGGCCTCTACCAAGAAGGCATCTTTCGCGCTGTCCCAAGACGAGCGCTCCGGGTCTTCAGACACCATGTTTTGGCGCCCCCGCGAGGGATAATCGCGATAAAAGTTCCTGGTCAGAGTAGAAAGTTTGAAATCGCGATCTTTTGCCTAAATCACGATCTTTTGTGTGGTGTTTGTAAGCGCCATGTTTGCCCCAAGATTGCAAATTACAGATTGCAATTTAATTATGAAGATCGCGGTGATGTTTGGAAACGCAATTTTTCGAAAAATCACGATCACCCGAAAATCGCGATTTAACCCTTCTAGTCCCGTATGCTGTATAATACTGCATAAGGATTATAACAGGTATTAATATGCAGCGAACAAAAAAACTACAAATTCTCCCGCATATATATTTTTGTATGGTGAATATGCAAATCGAAGTTGTTGGCTCATTCTGAACATGTCTTTGTCGGGTCGCCTATCTTCAACGGATATTGGTTGGATAGAGGTTTGTGCAGCTTCAGGTATCCTGTCCACTCCAGAAAGCACTTTCAAAATTATGAAATCTTTTGAGTTCGCCCCCTCACCCCTCCCAATCATGGAAAAAATATTCATGGAGCTGTGGAGAGAGCTCTACAAGCAGGGCTGGACGCCCAAGCCGTCCACCGGTCTGAGCAACGATCATCGCTACGTCCGACCCGGCAGATCTGTTCGAGGGAAGGATGGTGTCGACTTTTTTACGGGTACGTGTTTGTGCTACTTACACAGCTGCCAAAACGTCCATCTAACACATGAAATAGGTGAAAATGCGCTGATGGCGTTTGCGAAACAGTGTGGATGGCTGTATTATGGCGTGACGGCTGGATCTACGCTTCATTCATCCTCAATGACACCTACAGCAACTTCTGGTGGGGTGTCGGTTTCTGATACGACTACTGTGATGACAACGGATGCGCCCTCGGCTTCTGCTACGCCTATAAATGCTAGAAATCCGACTGGTGTGTCTCTGACTGCAGCAACACCAACGATTGCTATGGCGCCAGCTGCATGACAAGCTGTGGCTCCTCCTACCCCTGTTTCGTCCGCTACAGCACAAGCCGTGGTTCCTTCTCCGCCTGTTACGTCTGCTACAGCACAAGCTAAAGCCCCACCAACACTTGTGATGTTATATACAGCACAACGACAATATGTAAATGTGTCGATAGAGGAAGAGGAGAAAACAGGTGACCAAGTTGACTATGAAGCCGAGTTCAACATGTACGATTCAGATCGTTTTATGTCGGCGTTGGCCAAGAATGAGTGGTCCTGTGAAGCAGAAGACGATGATCCCAACCCCTGCAGTGCTGAGGTCGAGATTGACGAGGCGAATGAAGTTGAAACGGAAGATCACATCGATGAAGTTATGAACGTGGAGCTGGAGGAGGAGGGAGAACGGAGTGGTAGCGATGGAGAGTGACGATAACAATTTCTTTGAGGGTGTTTTCAATGAAGATTGGTGCCCGCGTGATGATGAGTACGTCAATCCAGACTTTATTGGTGATGACGAGTTGAAGGCGATCGCCGATGCGTGGGTTGTGTACGACCAAGACCACAGTGATGAATTCCAAGTTGATGGGGCATCTGACGTGTACAGCGGCCGTTGGGGGCCTACTCAGTCACTCGAGCGTACGCTGAATCGCCGCTTGGTATGTTCTACTACTTCATGCCCAAAGTGATGTGGACCAAAATTGCTGAAGAGACAAACCGGTATCGTGATTCAGTGATTGATACTGTGGCAGAGCAACGGCAAGAGCGCCGGCGGCGGTGGCAAGCCAGCCACCCAAACAGCCACGTCCAGGCGCTTGCCGATATCAAGCGCATGTTGACCAAGGCACGGCCTGTTCAAGTGCACGAAATGGTGTACTTCATTGCGTTGCTTATTGCTCGTTTTCTGTGCCCTCATCGACGATCCATGGGGGAGCACTGGTCTACTACGGAGTGTGGTGCTATTCCTCGCGGCACCTTTGGGAAGTACATGAGCCGGAAGCGCTTCGAAGACATTACTCGGTTCCTTCACTTCAATGACAACTCGAACAACCGCCGCAGGAAAGCCAAAGCCTGGAAATTACGCCCTGTTCTCAAAATTATCGAGAAAACGTTCAGGAATGGACACCGAATGGGATCGACGCTGTCCTTTGATGAGGGGATGATTGGCAGCAGGTATTAGTACAGCCCGATGCGGATCTATATGAAAAACAAGCCTACGAAGTGGGGTACGAAGTTCTATATGGTGTGATGTGCCGATTCAGCATACTGCTCTCGGTGAGTCTTCAAATTCGGTTTTATACAGCATATTTGGTCCGCGTATGCTGTACCATACAGCACAATGTATTATGGCAACTAATGTTATACGTCTTTTGCTGTTTGATACAGCATAGAGATTTTTCGGGGGAAGGAAGACACACAAGCAGTCATTTCAAAAGCCGTCATCCGCAACCTTGCGAAGGTCTTGCGAGGGCAGCCTGGCAAGAGACTCGTTGTAGCTGACAACTATTACACTTGTGTGGAGCTTGCAGAACGACTCTTGAGGATGGGAATCTACACCGTAGGCACAACGCGAATCAATAGAAAAGGCTGGAGTCAGTGTATTCAGTTTCCAACCGCAAAGATCCAACCAGGAGCTGCAAGGAGAGTTTCACGCGGGGAGTACCGTGCTGCAAGAAACACTCGCATCCCTGGGATGGTAGCTGCTTCCTGGAAAGACTCGCGTGTCGTCAACTCCCTAGCCACAGGTGCAGCGCAAAACGAGTGAGTGTTCACCGAAGCCAGAAGGGGGATGGGATGCCGCTTGATGTACCATGCCCGGAATTCGTACGCACTTACAACAAAGGCATGGGGGTGTAGATGAACATGATCAACTTCGTGTGCACCGCCATTCAATCCAGAAAGCGCTGCGTCATGGCTCGTACTACAAGAACTTGTTTTTTGGTATCGTAGACATGGCATTGATGAATGGATACATTATCCACAAAATAGTGATGAAGGAACAAGGAAAGCCAGTACCCACCCATGCTGACTACTTGGCGCGGCTTCATGTCGAGCTTCTGGCCCAGCAAAAAAGGCGACTTCGAGGGCAACATGCAGGCATAAAACTTGATGTCAGCTCCAGCGTCTGGGCTCCCGCATGTACTCACAAAAACTACGGAAACGTACAAGAACAAGCTGCGTCAGTACTTATGCAAAGTGTGCTCAGCTTACTCCAACAGACAGCAGCGTAGCTTCGAAACCCCCTATTACTGTGAGGAATGCACGCGTACCTTAGACGGTCGCGTAGCGCTATGTAACAAGGTTCGTCTAGAGAGCAGTGGAAACACCGATACGTGCCATCAGACGTGGCATGTGACCTGGAAGAATGGCACTATCATCCCACCGGACATGAGGGATTAGATTTAGGAAGCGTAAGTTTGAGCAGTTGGAACAGGAAGACGAAGATCAATAGGTACCATACCAAAATGTAACCGGAGGAAACTTTTGCCCATTTGTTTGTTGCACAAGCCTTTGATTGACAAATGGGCAAAAATTTCCTCCACTTCGCGCTCGTTTCACTCACCGCCAATGCTTTTGGCGCGAAAGTGACAGGCAATCGGTTTCGGAAGGATAGCAAGTAGAGCCGTATTTTTACCTGGCTATGTAGTGAGTGTATTCAGTGCTCTGGCCAATCAAGCATCGTAATTCACTACAATCATCGCGTACATCCGACTCTATTGCTGGAAGAGGGCAACAAACAGATAAATTATCCACAGGTACCTTACTTTACTTTAATCAAGCTTATACTTATGCTGTATAATGCAGCATAAGACGCGGGACTAGAAGGGTTAAGGCCCTAAAGCAAGATTATTTTTGGATTCAAACACCGCCTAAATTTCACTTTGCCTCTTCAGCGAAAGTAATTTCAACCAATATACAGACAACGACGGATAAATCCGCCACACTATAAAAGCCCGCCCACCATCGTTTGAAGTTTGAAACTAAATGCAATTATTTAATCCAATAGACTTTATTTTACTGGCCATCCACGCCTTGTATTTACCACCAGCGTTTTTCACTTGTCATTCTCAATATGGCGCCCCAGCGCTCCTATCCAATATCCAAGAAGCGCCATGCTATCTCGAAAGACGAAGAACTAGGTGTCTGACTTGCAGCGAAGGAACTAGATATCAATTCTAATCTGGTTTTAGTAAAAAAGAAAGTTTTATTCTTTTTATTATTCTGCAACACCTGGGGGCTCTATCGAAACTTTCGATTCGAAAGAGATGAGTCAGGTACATATCCCAATGGACATGTCTACACTGTGCAAGAAAACGGATGGATGGACTCAACGGTTTGATCGTTTTACGTTCGTGAGCTGATGCGGTATGAAATCGACGCTCCATCGGTTCTTATCCTTGACAACTTTGATGCTCACCTTTTGGCGAAGGGCATTGACGTAGTGGCCGAAACAACGTCGGCATTAGTTTGCCAACTACCTGCAAACACTACCGCTGTCTGTTAACCTCTGGACGAAGGGGTAATGGGCCTCTATAGAAAAATAAAACGGCACTCTGGGTGGCTGAGACCCGCAAATCTACAAAACGAAAGTGCGCGCAGTGTGGGCTGGTGAAGAAGTGTAAATGGGAGAAGGAGTGCCGGTGTCAGATTAGGTGTGTGAGTGCTGTATGTAGTGTGGGCTTGGAGAGGATTGCAAGTGTTGGGACAATTGTCAAAGCTGAAACAGGTGCCTTTGCGGCGTTGAGTGTCTGTGTAGCGAGGGGTGCGTGTGCATCATCGACGAGACCACAGAACTGCCTCAACATCAGGAGGAAGAGCGTAAGTAGGCCGCCGCAAAGCGTAAGAAGCAGAACCAACCTACAGCAGAGGAAAAGCGACGATCTACTATCTCACAAACAATCAAGGCTTGGGGAGATTTGAAGACGGAGGTCATCGTCAAAAGTTTCCATTCCAAAGAATCCCATCGTAGAAATTAAATTCTTAGTCCTCTAAATGTTCGAAACCCTCCTAAAAATGATTATCTCAACTGGCTTATGCAATGTGCGGCTCAAAGCGGAGCTCATTGCTGGACTGCCTTCGCAAATACCGGGCAGTCCAGCATTGAGAGTACCCCGCGTGATTTGCTTTGGCTACGCGCTCTTCCACCCGCTCTCCTGGACCTAGTAACATCAAATCAAATTTAGAATTTTTAGAATCTCTGTCCTTAGACCAAAGTATTGCCTGTAGTATTAATATTGAGGGAAAATAGAACTTTTGATTTTAGAAATATTAAGAGAAAATATTAGCGAGACCGCGATGCAGACATCCCGAAAATACGACATAGATTTATTGCAGCTTGGAGACTCACTCCACATCCTCCAGGCTGGCGAGTAGCGCGGCAAGCTTCGGATGCGCTGTCCGCGATGGCAGATAGGCAGCGAGCTCGTCATCGTCGGCGTAAACTCTCAAATGCGAAAGTACCGTTTCAGCATCGAAAAGTCGATCACCAACGCGTATCTTGTCGTAAAACCGCCCGGAGTGGTGTTTTGGTGGTATTTTTTTTAAATTTACAAAACGTTTACACATACATTTGTATAACGGCATAAAAGCCTCATACAGTCAGATTCTCAACATACCGTAATTTCGCCGCTTGCTTAAGAGTGCGGAGTTTACGCATAAGCTGATGTACCCCCTCGAGGTCGTCCTCGCTGGGCTCCAAGAAGTCCCGCACGGCAAGGTTTAGTCGGTGACTTGAGCAACCGACAAGCGGCACACCAACCAAATCGGACAACCGTTTATTTACCGCGCAGTTGTCACCGACTAAAAATAGACAGCCGGACACTGACTAACCAAAGAAAGGCAGAAATCGCTTGATTGCCGTGAGATGGCCCTCAGTCACCGGGCTCGTCCATCACAGGGGCCAGCGACAAAAGCGGGAGCTGCAAGCCCGCCGAGGTTTCGTAGCATGCATAGAACGCCAAATAGTGTTCCGTACCGTGGGTCCAACCGTCGAGAACGAGACCGAAGTTCTCAGACATCTCGTCCCCTATAGCCTTCTTCACGGCTTTTGTCACAGCCTCCATGATAGCTGTCAGTGTCTCCTCGGAGATGGGGTTAAGGTCTGTATACCTACGTAATAAAAAAATCAATTAGAGTTCAAATACAAATGTTAAAGTAAAATACCAAAATACTTACCGTCGGGTCTCATTCGACTCGCAAAATGAGAACAGCAGGTTGTCCATGATGTCCCACCCCAGCCAGGCATAACGGCTGGATGCCTTTTGGCTCACCCACGGCAATAGTGTTCCCGTCGAGGCCACAGTCGCGTCACGCATGACGCTCTCGAAGTCCGTGTGCGCTGTCCGAACATGTGAGACCAGGTTAGAGTAACCCGTCTTCGGTGTGAGCTTGCGACATCTCCCACAAGACTTGCGCGCATACACACCCGTTGGCAAACCTTAATCCGCGCAGGGCGAGAAGAAGTAGGTGGCGATTTGCTTGGGCGAGAAGGTGGGCCTTGGGGGCGGCGCAGAGAGCATGTTGTCGGTCATCGTGGCGACTGGGAGGATGGGAGAAGTTGGGAGGTTGGTAGCAAGTTTGAAAATGCGACAGCGAGCTTTCAGTAAGGAATAAACACGATGAATGGTCACAAGGTACCTGGGTTTGGACGAGGGCAAATAAGGTACAGGTACCGCCCTCCAATCCGTCCGAGGTACTACTCTCTTCCCTTTGCCAGGATATGAAGTGTATAAGGTTTTTCTTTTGATTTGCATTCAAATGCGCATAGCTGATGTATTAGCAACGACCTCATGGATATCTACGTCGCAGCTTTCGCTGCTCTTCTTTCTCGTCACTGCTGCCTCGCTCAC